CTGCTCCTTATAATATATCTTCATCTTGTGTACCCTTCAAAATCACTCCAAGGGCACCCCCTGCTATGAAAGTATCTCTTAGAATCAAGCCCACAAGATTATTTGCACAAAGTTGGTTACATAGTAGATTGGTTTGATTGATTGATTGACTATTCAGCTACAAGAAATTAAATTAGTTAAGGTATAATTCTCAAGAGACTTCTGGAGAAAACATTACTATCTGCTTTTTGCTTCAATTAGCACTAATAGTTTTACTGTTACACTAAAAATATGGGAAAATTTTAAGACTATACAAAGCTATTTATTTTATATTTGAAAATATATTCTTGTCTGTTTAGCCTTACTTTTATTTCCAAGCACAATAAAAAGCCCCACTAAAAAGTCAACTGTTGCCACCTATAGGTGACAAATGTAGTATATTAATTTTATCGTAATTCTGATGAGGCACAGCATATGAAGGAAACGGCAATGTTTTATGGAACATACATAATTCTTGGCAGACACCAATCTTTACTAGGTTTATTATCATATTGTTGTTTTGTAATTCTTATTTCATATATTTCTCCTTAAAGATAATACTGGCTAACATTTGTAACATGCTTTTCCAAGATAGAGGTTAAGAGCTTGGGCTCTGCAAGCAGACCGCCTAGGTTCAAATCCAAATTCCATCTTGTACGGCTACAGGACTTGAAAAAAGTTACTTAATTTGTGTAAGCCTCGGTTGTATATAAATTGGAATATTAATGGCACCTACCCCCATAGAATTGCTGTGCAGATGAAAATAGATAATTCATGCACTGAGTTTAACAGAGTGTCTACACAGAATAGGCACTCAATTAAATAGAAACTGTTATTACCATAATTAGTTTTCAAAGCACCTTCACATACAGATGCTGAAAACTGGTGTGTTATTTTGCTACCATTTGCCAGATAGATACTTAACATATTACTATTTGACCTCAGTCCTTCTTTGATTTTAAAATAGAAATGTTATGTGACTTCAAATTAAAATACATATATAGCTGAAATCTGGTGAGCCAATGCTGAGGCTGGTTCAGTATGCCCCAACACAGAGGCAGGAGCACAAACCACTTTAATTCCAGCTTTTATTTGTATCTGCAGGATCCCTGGAGAAGCCCAAGCCTAGAGCTAAGATTCTTCTAATGCTGGAGGAAGTCTTCATTGAGAAAATGACTGACTACTTAGCCTGGGCTAGACCTTCAAGGAGAAAGCTTGGGTGGAGGAAAGTAGACGAGATAGGACATTTTAAAAATCTATAAAACATAACTCCAGCTCAGAAAGTCAAAACAAATGTAAAGATTGCAATGGACATACAGTCTGGGTTTTTTCTTTACTATTGTTTGGTTTTAATGTAAGCCAGTAGTTAAAAATCAGAGAATTTTAAGTATAAGCAAACACTGATCTAGATTTATGTCCTCACCCTTGAAATCAAACCATCTGGGTCCACATTTCTGTACAGCAGCAATCAGCTGGGCCTGAGTGGAGGCCGTGAGTCTAAACACAAGTGCTGCTGAGCTGACGGTGGTCCTGACCGCTCTAACCCCCACCCGAAGGCTGAATGCCAGTTGGCCCTTATTGCCACTTTTGCAATGATGTTGTCTTTAGAGACATGAAATACTTTCACACTCACCTTTTCTCAAAACTGCAAAAATTAAAGGAAGTTTGAGAAGACCTTTTTTTTTTTTTTTTTTATAACAGCCTGTTTCTTCATTTCTGTAACCTCCGTAACTGGCGTAGGCTTTTGTTATGTTAACTAAAAAAAACAGACCTGCAAGCTTGAGACACCCAGAAAAAAATGACATACTGTTCCATAGATAGTGGATGTTTGATGACAGTTAACTCTTTCCTCATCTCTGCCTTCACAGAGCAAACTGTACTTTTCACCCATTTGTCTTCCACCCAAGACTCTAAGTTCTTCTACACCAATTGTTCTCAAATTATAGCATGAATCAGAATTAGCCATTGGGCATACTAAAATTAGATTACAGGGGACCAGCAGATGGTGATATGGTTACATTGCTGGACTCCCAGGTAGCTGAGAGCTGTTTGAATCTCGGACCCTGTGGCTTAAAACTCACGCCTGGCACATGTCCCTGCATGCCCAAACTCCCAAGAGGAAAATGGAGGAGAAGGAATTGCAGTGTGGCTGTCCCCCTGGGGGGATGATTTCTCATTTTTTGTCACTCTGTCTCTTTCTGTCTCTCCGGCAAGTACACATGCCCTACAGCAAAAAAAAAAATCTCTAAAATAAATAAATAAATAAATAAATCATTAGGTTACTAAACCTCAATTTTTGATAGGGTCTGGGCAGGATCCAAGAACTTGAATTTCTAATAAACTCTGGGTGATGCTGATGCTACTGACCTCGGAACCCACTTTGAGAACCATGGATCTAGAATAAAAGACCTATCTTAGATTTATGAGCACACACTACCAGGAGCCAAGCAAGATCTCTACTTTATGATTACTATTGACTTGAAAACCTGATATACGTGTCTACAGTAAAAATCTGGAAACCAGATTTTCAAATCACTTAATATGTGTGAGGGCCTTAAAGTGCTCTATTTCTAATACGTACTTCAATCTTGAAATAAATGTGTGTCTTACCACCATTTGGTACTCAAGGATGCTTACGAGCACTCACACAGCAAGTGAAAGAGGCCACCATGAAGCTGAAGCTGAGGTCTATCTACATCCTGTCTCAACTGTCCCCTAATGGACACAGTTGCATTCAGTTGTGTGTCCTCAGCACCAAAACCTCCCACCTGCCTCATGGTAGCTTCTCTAGTAAATGTTCATTGAATTAACTTGAGATACACATAGACCTGTTAAGAGGAAAAAAAGAAAGAAAGAAAAAAGAAAAGAAGAAGACATTCAGGTGTGGAGGAACTTTCACTAAAGTCCTTTATTTCTTTATCTACATTAGGCAAATGTAGTTAAACTTCATACCCTCTCCAAAGCATTTCCTCTTCTCCCTATGCATTTTTAATGATATTCTCTACAATTCTTGGAAAAAAGGATGCTTACAAATTAACACAGCATAAAAAGGGTCTTTTGCATGAAGTTATTCCTACTTATAGAGCCACTTTTCTGTAATCAGCTAGGAATATGCACCTTAGTCTGCCTCTGGTTTCAAGGTAGCCATTTTAGTTAGAAAATCAGCTCTCTGAGTAACGCTTCTGCACAGTAATAGTATAATGAAATAAGCACTAGTTCAAGAATGATTTTCAAAAGTCCCCATAGAATTACACCATTTCCCATAGCAGAGAAGTTCTGCCTGCACCTGCTGTTGGGATACAAAAACCATCCACTTCTCTTTTTTTTTTTCTCTTTCTGTTAAATATTTTGCATGTGAGGACCCATAGGCTTTGACTTTTTTACTTTGCCTGGTCAAAATACAATTTTCTTATTGCACCTCTATAAGTTTAACATGCCGATGTGAGGGTTAGAGGCAAGGTGGAGTATAGAACTGCATATGTTAGAGATAGTTTGGCAAGTAATTCAAGTGGAATATTCGGGGACCAAAATGAAAAACAGGACATTTTTTTCTACTATTACATAAGTGCCTGGTTTAGTGGACAGAATAAGGATATAGAAGCCAGACAAAAATTCAAATCCTGTTCTCTTCGCATGCTGGGCAGTCTTTGACAAGTAATTCTATCACTCTGAGCCTTGTTTTTCTTCTTCTTTATTTTTATTTTTATTTTATTTTTTAATAGATTTTTGCTATAGGGCATGTGTGCTTGCTGGACAGATTAGAGAGACACAAACCAAGAAATCAGCCCTAGTGGTTGACCACGCTGCAACCCCCTCTCTTCCATTCTCCTCTTGGGATTACAGGCATGCATGCACATGTACCTGGTGTGAATTTTAAGCTGCTGGGTCTGGGACTCAAACCACCCTTGACTGAATGGGAACCCAGTGACATACCGTAACCGTTACACCATCTGCTGGTTCCTCTGAGTCTTGTTTTTCTAGTCTTCGAAATGGAAATAAATAATTTGCAGTTTTGTGAAAAGGTTGATAGAGAAAATGTGCTAAGTGTCTTTGGCCTAGTGGTTGCTTAATCAGTGCTAGCTATTATTATCATCTCTAAGCTCTGTTTCTGCTTCTACCCTGTATTTGTGTGGAAATTTTGCCTGAAAGAGGGAAAAGAAAGCAATGTTCTAGAGGCTTGAGCACCTTCATTTTCCTAATTGATTTTACATCTTTGCTTCCCTCTATCCTCACCTCAGACCTTAGGAACCACTTGAGCAACTGAACATATTCCTTTCATAGGGTTTATTTACAATAATTATTGAATATAGCTGCAATGTTTATGAAGTCCTACAGATACTAGTGACATCCTATAGCTATCCCTCTATACATTGGTTTTATTCGAGACTTCTGATTACCAAACCATAGACTTACTAGGATTTTTAAGCCTCTAGCCTTTTGGAGTCTGTACTCAAACACCTGGAGACTGCCTTCAACTCACTAAGTCTCATAAAAGGTCAAAATACAAATGTAATGTTTCTGACAAAGTTTAACATGTACTCACATTTAATGGCAATTTTAGAGATTTTATGCCTTTTTTACAAATTACCACAACTTCTGGCTAAAATTCCATCCTTCTCCATAGTTAGAAAAAGTACTACTAATGCTTAGCAAGGAAAGAGAAGAATTTGAAACTTTGATTAAGAAAAATAAGGCACTTTACCTGAACAAATTTCGAATGGATCCATTTAAAATGAAATTAAGTGGCACTTAAATGGTTTGCAAATTGAGACCTATTTATCTCAGTAAAATGATTAAAGTCTTGATTTATCCCTAAAATTGGCTTTATTATTCCCTTTAATTATACTAGAAGAGTGTTACAAACTTGTCGGTTCTCCCCATCCCTTTAAACTGCATTTTATACAGACAATAATTGAATATTGGATAAGATAACTTGATTTCTGAAGAAATATGTTTCTAATATTTTCCTCTTTTTATTGCAGAAATTGAAACAAGTCAAAGAAACAAAAGAAGATTCTGAGAATAGATTATCTAAAATTTCCCTGGAGTCGTTCAATAAATTTAACAGCAATACTGTGATTTTATTAGAAAAAGAGAAGAACTCTCTGAACAAGGTTGAAGGACAAAAGGAGGAAAAAGAAAAAAATGAAGAGGCATCTTTGAGTAGCTCAGACAGACCTGGGGTAGACAATTTGGAATCTTTGAGTGACTCGTTATATGATAGTTTCTCTTCCTGTGCAAGTCAAGGTTCAAATGATGTATAAAGGATTTGCTTTTCCCCTTAGTGAGCTGGGAACGGAACACTTTAAAAATGAGGGGGAATGGTGCTGGGAGCAGGGTGAGCGATGACAACAATAAACTATTGCAACACTAGAGCCTACATTGTCAAATTCACAGCAGGCAACCCACCAGAGCTTACTTCTCTGACAGGGCAATAAAGATTGACTCCATTTGTTGTGTTTCAAGAGAATTAAAAGTAAACACACCCACAATTTTGCACTTTTTTTTAATACTTGTACAGAAGTTGTAAATTTTTTGAAAGAGAAATTATATTTGTAACAAAAAAACACAGCAATAAATTGAATCAGTACTATGCTCTTGAATTGATGTACTAAGTCTTAGAAGTTGATATTAATATATTTTTTTAAAACATTGCAACTAAAGCTTTCTTTAAGTTCATTGTCCTAGTCTTCAAATTATTTGTGGGTATACTCCGTAAGCCTAAAACAGAGCCTGCTGTAAAACTAGAGGGATCATAATAATCGCTGTCTCGCAATCTCAACTTGATAATAATTTTAATTTTAGTGCAATTTCCAAATTGTTGCCAGAGAGATTCAGGTTGTAGTAATAAGTGTAATTCTGCTTCTAGGGAGAAATGAAAAAGGTATTGAAGTGCTGGATACTGACTGAAGGGTGATGCTGTTTCAAAAGCAACCTAATTCTATTTCCAACAGCAGAATTTCCTTCCAAACATTTCCTTTATATCCTTTTTATTCAGTGCTTCTCTATGATTCTGCATATTATGTGTTGATTTTTATCTTCCCGCTCTTTTTATTAAAACCTGGCCACTCTAGAAATGAAAGCAAATTTCTATTTGCTATGCTCACTTTTAAAAACATAAAATGGTTGGTGCTATGAAAAATTCTTACTTTTTAATACCCCTTTTTTCCTACAAAGATTGTTTATATGTAAGGATAAATTCTATTTTAAAGTTTATGTGTATTTTTTCTAGATGTTAACTATTTATAATTGCTTTTGTACAGGAGCTTGTAAACTAGGCATAATAGAAATATTTTTAGGATTCTATATGGTTACTTTAGTACACATTTGTTTCTTTAAAGAGTATTGTATGATCAGTGTTACTTGGTTAATTTGTGCAATTTGTTATGTTTGGATTTTGTTATCTTAAAATGAAAATTATGTAAAATGTCCCTGTCTTTCATACTGTCAAAAAAATCTTTTTGTTTCATTTCTGAATAAAAGCTATATCAGAATTGCATCCTGAAAACTGAAAAGTACTCGTTCAAGGACCCTTTGGCCCAGTCAGTTACTTGAATCCAGACTCACACTTGCTCCAAAGATGAATTCCCCAAAGGAACAAATAGACTGGCCCCTGTGCTCCAGAGATAGTAATTTAGCCAATTGTATGTCCTCAGACAAGTGAGTAATGGTCAAGCATTTCACTCTCCCTGAGGGGTTAACCGACTAGAAAAGAAAGGAAGGGGGTGGGGGAGTGGGAAGGGACCGTGGGAGAGGAGCCTGAGGCAGATATGGAATGATCTCTGCAGAAGAATTACAAGAAAGTCATTTAAGCCTGTTTCCAGACCTGCTTTGCCGACAGGATGGGGAAATAGATGATCTGCGTCCCGGCCTGAGAGAGCATGTAAAGAGGGGCAAAGCTTAAGAGGCTGTTTGCACTGAAATGAATGCTCTCTAGGGATTTGGGGGAAAGGGGTGGGAGTGTGCGGGATTGGAGGCGGGAGCACCAACGCGCTCGGGGCGGGAACGCGGACTCCGGCAGGCACCACCTGCTGAAGGGCTCCGCGAGGAAGGCGGAAATAGCACCTTCGCGTCCGGAGTACGCAAGGTGGGTCACTTGGACTCGACGGAAAGGGGGGAATGCGGGGGACAGCCAGCAGATGAATGGGCTAGGATGGCATCTTACCGGAGCGGACGCGGGAGTGTATACTAATGACCAGTGGCTTTGGGGAGAGCAGGATGAAGCTGCCCTGCAGTTCAGAGGAAGAGGATGAGGAAAGCAACCCTCTTCATCCAGATTTGCTTCTGATGGAAACTCGCGGAGCTTGTCCCTGAGGCGGCTTGGCTAGACGACCAGGGACTGTGTCAATGAACCCTCCAGCTGAGCGCTCGGTCTGGCGAAAGAGGGGCCGGCAGGGCAAGCGCGTTAACCAGACCAGGGTCCCCACCACACCCCTACCCATCTTGCCGCAGCCAAGCCGAGCCAGGTAAAGACCGAGAGGCTTCTAGGGGAAGGAGGCACGGCTGCATGGGACATCCTGGGGAGCCTGCGGATGTGCAACTTCGCCAGGCGCACGGGAAAGAGCCCTGTTCCGGCCAGCTTCCCGAGACGCGGGGCTCCGGTGGATCGCAGAGCGACAGCTGGGGCAGGGTGGGCCAGACCGAGTCGCCAGGGAGAGTAGGGAGGCACACTAGCGCGACGAGGGCCAGTCCTGCCCACCTTCTTCCAAACCTACTAACGCAGGTGCCCCAGTCGGTGCCCGACGGATCCCCGCAGCACCTGCTGCGCCTTCATACTCCCCCAGCAGCCTGCCTCCCAACCTCTGAAAATTACTCTTCCCCCACCGCGCTCCCCCCTCCGGAGCCGTTTTCCCAGGAACGTGCGGAGGCGGGAGAGGAGGGCCGCAGGAAGGGGGGGGGGATGGAGGGAGAT